CAGGAGGGATGTTTCCGCAGCTGACAGCTTGTGCGTAGTTAACAGCTTGTTAGTAGAAGACCCAGGTCGTGACCCAGACCAGGTCCTGGTCATTCCCCGATGGGGCTCCTGACCCCTCTCCCCGGCTGCACGACAGAGGTCTCCTGGGTGGCTCTGTGAGTTTCTCCTGACATTCGGAAGGTACCATCCTTCTGGAGTGACTGAATTTCCACGCAGCATCCTAGGCAATGTGAAACCCAGAGTGGGGTGAATTAACCCCTATTTGAAATGCATTCAGTAAATCACTCCAGTTCATCAAAATATGATTCAGGAACCATGAAAATAAAGCATATGCTTCGTGCATGTCTTGAGAGTACACAACGGCCCTTCCTGAGCCCACGTTAGGAGGCGGCAGTAGTTCAGCCACGCTCTGCGCTTCTGGGTAGCCACTTCTGCTGGTGGCTGGACAGTGGGTCCCACTAGGAAGGAGGTGCAGCCGCCCAAGGCTTCGGCCTGTCTTTTGTTTGGCGCGACGTCACTGCTGCCCTTCTCGGAAGAGGCCAGAGGCCCCGGGCTTCCCTCCGCGGCCACCCAGGCTCTCCTCTGCCCGCGGTTCATCGCCGGGGGTCTAGCGGCTGTCAGGCCAGCCTGTGGAGACGCCTCCTCTGGCAGCGCCTCTGAGTCAATCCCAGAGAAACACGAGGGGCAAAGAGGCCGCGGGCTTCGTCTCAGGGAAGAAGGCAGATGCACAAGCAGCAACCCAAGGGCACAGCGACTCTGCTGGAAGGAGCCCCGTCCTCCCTGACCTCCTCCTTTTTCTAACTTTCTGGCCACACAGCATGGCATGCCGGATCTCAGTTCCCCGACCAGGGATTGAGTCCACGCCCCCGGCGGTGGACGGCCAGGGAAGTCCCCTGTCATCTTTTTCGTTTGCTCCTTTTGGTCCCTCCATTCCTGAGGACTTCCGATGCCAGCCCCTGCCAGCCGGGAGCTCAAGACACTGGGTGATGGTCCTGTCTAGAATCTGTGCTCTGAGAATGTCCTCTCTTTCACCCACTAGAGGGGAATACACAGTGCCATGGAGATTTAAATCATCATTAATGGAGACTGCTTTATTAGAAAAGGTATTTTTCTTTTTCAAACGGGATCAAAGATTATTACCCAACTGGTTACTTAAGTTTATGGAAGCATACAGCATAGGGCACCAATTATAGAGGTAACTGTAAATTAAGGAAAAGGCATGACAACTTGAGGACGTTTTCCCCCCCAAAGATAAAATATGGGTTGCACCCAGGAGCTCTCAAAAAATAGTGAGAAATGTTACCTTGAAAACTAGATCAATATGGTACATACATACAATGGGATATTACTTAGCCATAAAAAAAAAGAACAAAACTGGGTCATTTGTAGAGATGTGGATGAACCTAGAGTCAGTCATACAAAGTGAAGTAAGTCGGAAAAGCAAATATCGTATTTTAACCCATATATATGGAATCTAGAAAAACGGTACAGATGAACCTACTTGCAGGGCAGGGGTGGAGGAAACGGGGAGGGGAAGGGGAGAGTGGGACGGTTGGGAGGGCAACACTGCCGTGTGCACACACGCACGTGTGACTCAGCGGGCCAGCGGGGACCGCCACAGCACGGGGACTCGGCTCCAAGCTCTGCGCTCACCCCGGTGGTGGGGGAAGCTTTAGACAGAGGGGGCGTACGCACCATAGCGCTGACCCACAATGTTTACAGCAGAAACTAACACAACCCTGGAAAGCAACTGTACTCCAACAATGAAACTTTTAAAAAAAGAAAGAGAAATATATCAAACAAGAAAAAGAAAAGCACCTTTTTCAGGCAAAATGCCCTGATTAACTGTATCCTCATAGCCAATGACCATTTGCGTGCAATACTGCACCTGGTGATTAATCCTGTTAAAGATCTATTCAGCCAAAGAATAAGAGGGTACCCCTCACCCTCCCCTCCTGCATGGGCCTTCTCACTGGGCAACCATTGCTTGCAAAAAGGATCCCATAGTTTTACACGTTTATGGCCCTACTTATAGCACCCAGTGGCCCAGACTTGCCTTCGCCCTTCTCAAGTCGTCTGCTGAGCCCCTAAGGCAGCCAGGGGCCTTCACTTGCCTCCAGCCAAGCTGAGGCTCTGGAGCCGGCGCCTGGGGCTGGGCCGCAGCTACCTTGTGAGCGAAACCGTGCCCAGCCTGCAGTCTCAGGGTGTTTATACCCACTGCCTTGGTTTGAACGCAGTCTCTCCCAAGAGCAGGGCCCATGTAAAGAACTGGGAACAGACGCATCACTTGGAAAGGGCCATCCCTTCCTAAGCCTGCTATAACAGCTTACTACATGCCAGGTGACTGAAAATAACAGAGATCTACCTTCTCATGGTTTCAGAGGCCAGAGGTCCGAACTCGAGCTGTTGGCCGACCACGCTTGCAGGGAAGGCTCTTGGGGAAGGTCCTTTCTCCGCTCTCCCGGCTCCTGGCAGCGGCTCATGAGCCATGGCCCTCCCCGGCTTGGACCTGCATCATGTGACCCTGCTCCCGCGTTTCTCTCCTAAGGACACACTTGCTGGATTGAGGGGCCCCTTGCGCAGTCTTCTCCATCCTCAGCTTGACTACGCTCTGAGGTTCTGGGGGACTTGGGATTTCAACTCCGCATGGGGCTCAAGGGTTGTTAATCCTGGAATCACCCAATGTTGACAGGGAGACTAAGCTGGAAGCGGAGGGAGAGGGGATGTGGTGGATGGGACGCACAGCTGGCGCGGGAGAGGGGGTGTGGTGGATGGGACGCACAGCTGGCGCCTCCCTAGTTCCACTTCCCTGGGGGCTCAGGGGTCGGGACGCCACCTGCCAACGGGGAGATGTGAGTTCAGTCCCTGGTCAGGAAGATCCCCTGGAGAAGGGAATGGCAACCCACTCCAGTGTTCTTGTCTGGAGAATCCCATGGACAGAGGAGCCTGGCGGGCTGAAGTCCACGGGGTCACAAAGAGCTGCACACAACTTTCCAACTAAACACAACAGTCTCTCTCATCACTTACGCCTACAACTGAGATTTTCCCGAACAATTCCTAACCAACTTGACAGACAGTCTACACGCCTCTGTCCTCTCAGACAGGGCAAATACCTCTGAGAAATAGCTTCTCAAGCTGCAGTTCTCAGGGGAGTGGGGCCCCTTACAATGGCCTGGCCTGGAGTCTTACAAGAATGCTTGCCCCAGGAATCCTGCCCAGGGTGTGGCAGGGAGGGAGGTGTGCCTTGCAAACAAATCATCTCCACAGTGAAGCTGGACGCCCTGCAAATGTTTTCTACACCTCAGGTGTGTAGCCTCTGTTTCCAACCGCGATGAAGCACTTCCTGGCAATGCATCAACCCTGGCACTTTTCTGGAGCCTGGGGAGGAGGGGTGGGTGGGGAAGAGGGAAGGTCAGGGAGACCGGGGAGCAGCTGCCTGAGAGGGCAAATCACCCACATTTAACTCATTTCACCTTTCCTAGAATAATATGCGCAAAATTTGTAGCGGGGATGGCAAACCCAGTGAAACCTTGTGTAGGAACGTGAGGACTGAGGAGGGTGCTGTGTTAGGAAGATTCAGCAGCTACATCTCTGTGCAAAGTGGGATGGGAGCCATGATAAAGTCATCATCTAAGTTCACGTCAGTGCTATTTACAATAGCCAGGACATGGAAGCAACCTAGATACATCAGCAGATGAGTGGATAAGGAAGCTGTGGTATATATACACAATGGACTATCACGCAGCTATAAAAAGGAACACGTCTGAGTCAGTTTTAATGAGGTAGATGAACCTAGAGCCTATTATACAGAGTGAAGTCAGAAAGAGAAAGAGAGACATCATTCATTAACACATACATATGGAATCTAGAAAGATGGTACTGATGGTCCTACATGCAGGGCAGCAAAGGAGACAGACATAAAGAACAGACTTTCTTTGGACAGAGTGGGAGAAGGAGAGGGTGGGATGATTTGAGAGAATATCACTGAAACATGTGTATTATCACATGTAAAAGAGATCGCCAGTGGGAGTTTGAGGTATGACGCAGGGAACAAGCCAGTGCTCTCTGACGATCTGGAAGGATGGGGTGGGGAGCAAGGTGGGAGGGGGTTCAGGGGAGGGGACACATGTGCGCCTACGGCTGATTCGTGTTGCTGTATGGCAGTGCACGTGTGTGTGCATGCTAAGTCGCTTCAGTCATGTCCACCTCTTTGCAACCCCATGGACTGTAGCCTGCCAGGCTCCCCTGTCCTTGGGGTTCTCCAGGCAAGAATACTGGGGTGGGGTGCCGTGCTCTCCTCCAGGGGATCTTCCCAACCCAGGGATCGAATCTGCATCTCCTACGTCTCTTGCATTGGCAGGCGGGTTCTCTACACTACTACCACCTAGGAAGCCCAACGTATGGCAGAGGCCATCACAATATTGTAATTAATATAAACTAAATTAATATAAACTAAAAGTTTAATATAAACTAAATATAGTTTATATTAGTTTATATTAATATAAACTAAAAAAGTTTTTTTAAGTTACCATCTGCCACAAACACCCCGGGGGACTCTTGGGTCAGGTGCCACAAACCTGTCATCCTTCATGTATAGCTCTGTTTGGATCATGTCCTAAGTGTGCTGCTTATAGACACAGGCAACAGACGTCTACGGCCTGATATAAAAACACACACAGTCGTAGAAACAAGCTGTTTCTATGCTATCCCCTTTTCCGTGCTTCTAGAGACACACTCATAGTCAGTGGATGAGTTGGTTTTTGCATCGTCAGTTCTGAGAGGCGAGGCACTGGGTCTGTTGACACTCCCCAGCTGAGTGCCTGCGTGGTATCAGTCGTGTAACCAGGGTTACTGCGCTTAATTAGGCCAGGCCTGGGCTGAGCTTACTGAAGTGGGGGGGGGGGGGGTGCGGACGAGAGAGTAAGAAACGGGGGTGGGACACTGCTGCATTTAAACGGATGGGGTTTCCCGGGTGGTCGAGTGGTTAAGAACCCGCCTCGATGCGGAGGACACTTTGTTTCCACCTCTGGTCCAGGAAGACACCACCTGCTCAGGGTAACTTGAGCCGCGCGCACAGCCACCCACCCTGCGCCCCGAAGTCCGCGAACCAGCCGCTGCGCCCGCGGATCGCAGCGACGGGGACCCGCGCGCCCCGAGCCCGAGCCCGCAGCAAGAGACGCCTCCGCGGTGAGCCGTCCGCGCACCGAGCCAGAGGGCCGCCCGTGCGCGGCAGTGGAGCCCCCGTGCGGCCAGAGTAGATACTGCACAAGGGCGTTAGTTAAATCAAGTGGATCGCAGCGAGGACCTGGGGCCTCTCAGCGCTGCGTGGAGCCTGGATGGGAGGGGAGTTTGGGGGAGAATGGGTACGCCTATGTGTATGACTGAGTTGCCTGCAGTCCAGCCGAAACTATCACAACATTGTTAGCCAGCTATATTCCGATGTAAAATAAAAAATTTAATTAGAAAAAGACACTGGGGGTGGGAGTGTTTTTTGGTCCCAGTTCTGCCCCTACGGGCAGCTGCATGCGCCCCCGTGGTAATTTTCAACCCTCGGCATCTCAGTTTCCGCATCTCTAAAACGGGAACGCAGAGGCCACCCTGTCTTCCGGCGCAGCTTGGTGTGAGGCGGATACACAGTGGACGTGTGGACCAGGAACAGGGTGGGCGTTATCTTCGAGAAATCATTCCCGCACGGGCTGCGGGCAGGGCCGTGACAGACAGGGCTGTGTGCGTGAGGAGGGCTGCCCAGGAAACCCGGCGCTGGCTGTTACGGAGGGCCCCGCCTAGCAAGGCAACGCGCTCCTCTGCAGGGTGGTGAGCAGGGCCCGGACGGGGGCGAGGAACGCCCAAGGGGCGGTGCCCGGCCGACCTTGCCCCCCGGGGGCCCTTCCGAAGGCAGCCAGGAGGGGCGGCCCAGGCCCCTGCCCTCACGGCCAGCCCCAGCGCTCGCGAGCAATGAGGCGAGCTGGAGAGTAAGCGTCACGGCGGCTGTGGGGTTCGGGGCGTCTGCACCCCAGGGGTGAGGGCAGTCAGTCTTCTGGTGGGAGGCTGTGAGTTAAAGGCAGGCAAGGGGGGCAGTCTGCCTGCTGCAGGAGGGCACACTGGCTACAGGAATGTTAGAACGCTAGTAAGCCGTCTAAAAGTCGGTCAACCACTCATGGTCACCCGGCTCGGCAATTCTAAACGCTAGTGATACAATAACTGCGTATGTGCCAAGTCGCTTCAGTCCCATCTGACTCTTTGTGACCACATGGACTGTAGCCCATCAAACTCCTCTGTCCATGGGATTCTCCAGGCAAGAACACTGGAGTAGGTTGCTAGGCTCTCCTCCAGGGGGTCTTCCTGACCCACGGATCAAATCTGCCTCTCTTACATCTCCCACACTGGCAGGCAGTTTTCTTTACTGGCGCCACCTGGGAAGCTCAATGATAATTTATTCCTCCCCAAAAACCTTTTGCTGGTCTAACTTCTAAACAACTGTGGTCACTGTGGGGTTTAATAATATATACTTAAACCTCGATGCAACAGTTAGGACTGGACATGGAACAACAGACTGGTTCCAAACCGGAAAAGGAGTACGTCAAGGCTGTATATTGTCATCCTGCTTATTTAACTTATATGCAGAGTACATCATGAGAAACGCTGGGCTGGAGGAAGCACAAGCTGGAATCAAGTTTGCCAGGAGAAATATCAATAACCTCAGATATGCAGATCACACCACCCTTATGGCAGAGAGTGAAGAAGAAATTAAGAGCCTCTTGATGAAAGTGAAAGAGGAGAGTGAAAAAGTTGGCTTAAAGCTCAACATTCAGAAAACTAAGATCATGGCACCCGGTCCCATCACTTCATGGCAGATAGATGGGGAAACAGTGGAAACAGTGGCTGACTTTATTTTTCTGGGCTCCAAAACCACTGCAGATGGTGATTGCAGCAATGAAATTCAAAGAAACTTACTCCTTGGAAGGAAAGTTATGACCAACCTAGATAGCATATTAAAAAGCAGAGTCATTACTTTGCCAACAAAGGTCCATCTAGTCAAGGCTATGGTTTTTCCAGTGGTCATGTGTGGATGTGAGAGCTGGACTATAAAGAAAGCTGAGCACCGAAGAACTGATGCTTTTGAACTGTGATGTTGGAGAAGACTCTTGAGAGTCCCTTGGACTGCAAGGAGATCCAACCAGTCCATCCTGAAGGAGATCAGTCCTGGGTGTTCATTGGAAGGACTGATGTCTGGAAGCTGAAACTCTAAAACTCTGGCCACCTGATGCGAAGAGCTGACTCATTGGAAAAGACCCTGGGAAAGATGCTGGGAAAGATTGAGGGCAGGAGGAGAAGGGGATGATAGAGGATGAGATGGTTGGATGGCATCACTGACTCGATGGACATGAGTTTGAGTAAACTCTGGGAGTTGGTGATGGACAGGGAGCCCTGGCATACTTCAATTCATGGGGTCGCAAAGAGTTGGACACGACTGAGCAACTGAACTGAACTGATACATACACACACACACACACACACACGTACACAGACACACAATAGAATTTATTCAGCCATAAAAAGAATCATGAGATTTTGCCATTTGAAACAACATGAATGGGCCTGAAGGGTATTATGCTTAGGTGAAGTGAGTCAGGGAAGGGCAAATACCATAGGGAGGACGCAGTTACAGGCGCCTGTCCCCAAACAGGGCACGAGACCTTGAAACAGGGGCGACTGCAGACAGAGGTGGGGGCTGGAGTGACTTCAATTCTGCTGTTCTATGTAAGCATTCAAAAGTGCTTTCAAACTGTCAGGATCTACCTTGAACAAGGTACACGATGCTTTAAGACTGTTCTTGAAAGATACTTCTGCCAAAAAAAAAAGTGAGGAAAGGGACAGTTATATAAAAAAGAAAATCAAATTCGAAGAAGTGTTAGGAGAAATGACTGAAGATGTCCATGCTACATTTGCCAGAAGAAATGAAACTTGCAGTGTTCGATGCCTGAGTCAGTTGCCAGGAACTGGACAAGTGCCTAGTGACTCCAAGAAGTCCTGTTTGCCATCCTACTGGCACTTTCCTCTGATTTTTGCAGAAGCAAAACTTGAGGATCAAATACACTAGAAACTGGTGATGTTCTCTGGTGATGGGTTTTAGTGAAAACTTTTCAACACTGGCAGCGTTAGAAAGCTGCTAGAATCACTCCTGAAGAAACCCAGGCTGCATCGCCCATTCTGAAATTTGCTGTGATGTGAGACTGAGCTGGGTCTTTGTCAAATTTATCTTTATGGTGCAGACTTCTATGTCTCTACTTATATGTCTATATGTAGACATATCAGTGTGCTAAGTTGCTTCAGTCGTGTCCAACCCTGTGACCCTAGGGACTGCAGCCCACCAGGCTCCTCTGTCCGTGGGATTCTCCAGGCAAGAACACTGAAGAGGGTTGCCAGGCCCTCCTCCAGGGGGTCTTCCTGACGCAGGGATCGAACCTTCATCTCTTACATCTCCTGCATTGGCAGGCAGATTCTTTACCACTGGTGCCACCCGGGAAGCCCTAGACATGCATGGAACGACCATTTATATGACATAACTATTTATATGTCTCCTGTTACAGGTGAGAGAAAACTTCAGAAATTAAAATGAGGGCAAAATACGCCTCACTCCACTATGAGCGAGATCGGCAAATGTGACCGCGCTCTCTTCAGCTGCCTCCTCAGCCCCTCGCCCGCTGAAGGCCGTGTCACAGGCACAGGGGAGGAGGCCGGGGCCTTGGGGGAGCTGACTTGCTCTGACAATCCTGGCTCTGTCCTTAGCAGCTGCATTTTCTCGGGTGATTCATTCTGCGAGCCTCAGGTTTTGTTGTCTGTAAAACAGAGACAACAGCAGACTCTGAAAGTCATTAAATGAGTAAATACACTCCGAGGATTTAGAACAGGCCTGTCCTGTAGGCACCAAAGCTCTGGACCCCAGGGAGGGGTGTTCTGACCGCAGTTTAGGCGTCAGACAACAGGGAGCTGGGAGCCGTTTTAAGGGTAACCGGCAGTTTCTGTAGGGAGACCTGCTCTGCTGTGTCTCAGAGAATGGACCAGTAGGAAGGTGCCCTGTCCTCCCACAGGGACCCTCCCGAAACTCTGACTGGAAGGCGGAGGTGTATTAGCAATTGCTGCTACGGCAGAGAGCGCGGACCCAAGGAGCTCCATCCTGGCCGCTTCTGGCCTTGCTTCTCAGCTGTCAAAGCCAAGCATCCTGAAGCTACCGTCTCCTTACGAGCTCGACATGGCAGTGGAATGAACTGGAGGCTTCAGTAAGAACAGTACACGTACGGCTTGCTTGAATTCAGGTCATGTTTTCCTAGCGCGGGGCTCTTCACTAGAGCAGTGGGGTCAGGCCAAATCTTAAGGACCTGCTTGGCAACTCTAAGGACTGGCAAGGAAGGAAGAGACTGGTAAACAATGTTTTAAAAATATGTTAAATGCCAAGCAGTCTGTCTCATTTCTAATGTTCATTTACGGGTATTTGCTATTTTTCAGGAATTCTGGTAGCGAGTAACCGACTATCGCAAGCCTCCACCCGTCACTGGGAGCAGCTTCTGAAACACAGTCACACGCTTCCAACAGCCCACGTAGGCTGATGGGCGGACGTGTCCTCAGGGGTGAACTCAGGGACAGCAGACGACCCTGCTTCCAAAACTGTCCTGCCACCTTCTTGGTGAGTAAATGAGGAAAATCTCACCCAGGGAAGAGCAGTGAACAACTCTCGATTGACTCAAAGTTCAGTTCAGTTCAGTTGCTCAGTCGTGTCTGACTCTTTGTGACCCCACGGACTGCAGCACGCCAGGCCTCCCTGTCCATCACCAACTCCCAGAGTTTACCCAAACTCATGTCCATTGAGTCGGTGATGCCATCCAACCATCTCATCCTCTGTCATCCCCTTCTCCTCCTATCAGCATCAGGGTCTTTTCCAATAAGTCAGTTCTTCACATCAGGTGGCCAAAGTATTGGAAGTTCAGCTTCCACATCAGTCCTTCCAATGAACACCCAGGACTGATCTGACTCAAAGTTATTGATAATCAATTATTTTCCTCAGACCAAGTTTTAACAGAGGAAAAGAGGGAAGAATGACAGGTCCTGCAGTTTTGTTGAGAGAGCAAAGAAAGGGATGCAGAGGAAGACATGAAAGGCATCCGACAGCAGACTTGTCCACTTCACCCTGGATGGAGCAGAATGAACAACAGCAGGAGGCTCCAAGGCTTCCCAGGGGGGACCCGGCAGTAATGAGTCCTCCTGCTGATACAGGAGGTGCCGGCTCGATCACTGAGTCAGGGAGATGCGCTGGAGAAGGAAATGGCAACCCACTCCAGTACTCTTGCCTGGGAAATCCACAGACAGAGGAGCCCAGAGGGCTACAGTCCACTGCCGCAGAGTCAGACTCGATTTAGCGAATAAAGTGTTAGCCTGACCCTGTCTGACTCCCCTTTTGAAACACTTACAGGGATCTCGATGCGATCCGGTCCCTCTGAGCGAGCCAGCGGTGTTAAAGGCACAAAGGGGTCTCCCCTCTGTGCAGCCCCAGGCGGCACCCACCGACGTGGGCCGACAGTGCCTTCTCCGCCACCCACGCATCCAGCTGGGCGCAGGCCGGCGGCCCGAGAGCCCCCTCTTGCGCAGCTCCACTTGACTGTGTGGTCCGGCTGTGTGTTGACCCGGGGTGCTTCAAGGGATGGAGCTGATAGGAGCTTGATCACAGAGGAGGCTGTTGATGAGGGAGCCGCCGGAGGCTCTATCTAATCTGAGAATTGAGGGTAAGTGACGTGGTCTTCTGGGCTCCCCTGGTGACTCAGATGGTAAAGGATACCCTGCAGTGTGGGAGACCCAGGTTCCATCTCTAGGCTGGGAAGAGACCCTGGAGAAGGGAATGGCTGCCCACTCCTGTGTCCTTGCCTGGAGAATCCCACGGACAGAGGAGCCTGGTGGGCCACAGTCCAGGGCGTTGCAAGGAGTTGGACACAGTAAGCACAAAGGCACAACAGCGCGGTCTTGGCGTCGTCAGAGCCTCTGAGATCCGCCGCGCTGACACCCTCCTCTGTCTGGGCGGCTCCGCTAACAGGTGCTGGAGGGGCCACAGGGGCCCGTCCGGCCGAAGGGGTCCCTTCTGCGCCAGGCGCCTGCCGCTTCTTAAGGTGCGGTGTTGACAGGATGAGTGGGCATTTCCTAAACCCCAATCAGCCGTGTTAACATACTGCAGATTTAAACAGGACGGCCGTTGATTGTGGAGAAGGCAATGGCACCGTACTCCAGTACTCTTGCCTGGGAAATCCCATGGACGGAGGGCTGCGATCCATGGGGTCGTGAAGAGTTGGACACGACTGAGCGACTTCACTTTCACTTTTCACTTTCCTGCATTGGAGAAGGAAATGGCAGAACACTCCAGTGTTCTTGCCTGGAGAACCCCAGGGACGGGGGAGCCTGGTGGGCTGCTGGCTATGGGGTCGCGCAGAGTCGGACAGGACTGAAGCGACTTAGCAGCAGCAGAAGCCGTTAATTGAGCCAGGCGGTTTCACAGCCTAATAAGAGTCCCATGTAAGACCCTTGACTAGGGAAGCAGAGTGCACCTGTTTGCACCAGGATATAAGTATTAATGGCAGGGAAGGAGAGGAGAGAACCTGGCAATGTCCTGTGTAGGACCATGCGTGGGAGATTACATGAACACCACCCTCAGGAAAAGAGGCAGACAGGCGGCCTCGCAGCCCAGGCTTCAGAAGCTGGTCTCAGCCACCGGGAGAGGAAAACGCCGCGTCTTCCCTACCCAGGTGGGCTGGCGTCGTGCAAAGATCCGACGTATTTAGACCCTTTCCACATCACCTGCTGCTGCATGGGGTCTGAGCACAAATTATTTCAGTCCCCTCGTGTCTCTTGTTTAGAGGTCGCTCACTATAATTTTATCAGGTTAGAATTTCAGGGGATGAAGAACTGATCCGATAATCGCCCAGCACCCAGCCCTTCTCTGGAACTCCTCTCCGCCAGAAGCCATGTATTGTTTCCCGGGGCTGCCTTCATCCAGCGCCGCTGACGAGCGGCTTCAACAGCAGACGTGTCTCCTTTCCGATGCCGGAGGCTCGGCGGGCACGAAGGTGTCAGCCGGGCCGCTCTCCCTGCGGGAGCCGCGGCGGCGCGCGCCCTCCCAGCGGCTGTGCGGTCCGTGGTCTGCAGGGCAGACTCGCCTCCCGAGCCGCACTCGGAGCTCCCCGCGTGCCCGCGTCTCCCCCGCGCGGGCCCTCACGCCGCGCTCCCTCTTTCTCCCGCTCTTCTAACAAGGGCCCCAGTCCTGCTGGGCTTGGGGTCGCCCTCCCCCAGGGCGACCTCAGCGCCACGCGATTATGTCTGCACAGAGCCCATTTGCAGATCCGGCCCCGTTCACAGGGACTGACCGTCAACCCACAGGAGGAGGAAGGGGCAAGAGCAGGCAGAAGCCCTGCAGGCCAGCGCCGGCGACGCGTGAGAGAGCAGGGGGCGGCCCGCTCCCCTCCCCAGGCCCGCGCAGCGGGGGCTCTGCAGCCCACAGCGGGAAGCACTGTGCTCTCAGACACGGCCATCTCAACAGGCGCAGACACGCGTCTTAAAGATGCGCCATTTCCTGAGAAAGGCAATACGGGCCCATTATTTCTCTGAAACACGCTTCCGGTGTGTATCTGTCACTGACTTACCACCCCTTATTTTCAGCAGGTGCAGAGGAAATAAATATGACCCATTTACCACCGTCTGTGCATTTCCGCTGAAATGGACAGTCGACCTGAACTATATAGAGACTTTCCGTCTCATCTGGGATTCCTTCTTAGTTAACTCATTATCCATGCTATAGGTCATTCGGTAAATCCTATCGCAGTGAAACACACAGCACTCTTGTTCCCTGTACTTTTTCCACATTGCCTTGTTATCGATAATCCACGCATGTGTGTATTGCGCTCAAGTGCTGTGCTCACAGGAAATAGCTTCCCCTTTCAAACAGATGTAATAATGACAGCTGTCATTTACTGAGAGTCTTCCATGTTCCAGACAGTGCGCTAACTGGTTTATACACATTGCTTTATTGAGTTCTCAGGACAAACATGCGGTCAGTACTGTCGTTCCCATTTTACACTTGAAGAAGCTGAGTCTTGAATAAGATTTTATCTTATCACATCTAATCACATAGCTCTTTGATGATGAAGCTGGAATTAGATTCAAATTTATGATCCCAACGCTCATGCTGGCCTACCTCTATATTTTTCACAGTAATCCTGGTGGATTTCTCTTGCCCAGTCTAGCTTTTCCCCTCCCCAGCCTTTGACTCCCGAGAGCAGCCCAGGCTGAGGGGCAGAGGCTGACGCCCAACGTCCAAACCCATCTCAACAGGCCCGCCCTTTGCTTGCGGCCACCAAGGGGCGATATACCGACAGAGAGCCCGAACCCAGCCCAGGCCCTCAGGGAGCGCGTCTCCCCTTCGGAGGGGGCTTGGAAGCCGCGAATCCAAGCGGCTGTGCGACCAGAACCAGACTACTCACGAGTCCAGACACACAGGACTGGGCTTACGGAGTACGGCGCTCAGGGAGCGCGTCTCCCCTTCGGAGGGGGCTTGGAAGCCGCGAATCCAAGCGGCTGTGCGACCAGAACCAGACTACTCACGAGTCCAGACACACAGGACTGGGCTTACGGAGTACGCTGTCCACCGCAGCGTTCCCCCAGGCCGCATCGAAAGCCAGAAGAAAATTCCCGCCGACGCCCTGTGATGGTCGAGTCAAAATCCATTTACATACAACAGCCTCTATAAGCTTGGAAACCAGATGAACGTGCTTTTGATCTGTAAAGAGCCATGTCGATGTAAGAATTGTAATAATAAAGATTGTGTGTCTCGTGAATCTGAAGATGTGATGCCTGCCTACCTGCTAAGTCGCTCAGTCGTGTCTGACTCTTGTGGCCCCATGGACTGTATCCTGCCAGGCTCCTCTGTCCATGAGATTCTCCAGGCAAGAACACTGGAGTGGGGTGCCATTTCCTCCTCCAGGGGCTCTTCTCGACCCAGGGATCAAACCCGTGTCTCCTGTGTCTCCTGCGTTGGCAGGTGGGTTCTTTACCACTGAACCACCTGGGAAAGATTCCTGCGGTTATCAGCACTAAATTGCCTTGGATGGCCTAAAAAATATTTTGAAGTTTACCTAGAGTCTCAGGGGAACCAGAAGGACGGGTAGCTAAGCTTGCTGCAGTGCCTGAGAGGGAGAAGGAAGCCCGGAGAAGCGGGTGGTGGTACCCAAGGAGGTGGCCCTGGGGCCCCCTGGGCAGAGGGGACATCCCCACCACCGGAAAGCCTTCAAAGACATCGCCCATGGGGAAGCAGTCCTCGGGGACTTCCTGGGGCAACCAACCAAGAGGAAGCTGGACCTTAAGAACCGTGTCAGGAAGCTCTGAAGATTCCAGGGATCAGGCTGGGTGAAACCCGCTGTGGCCAGTCCTGAGGGTTCTGGTGATCCATCAGAGCCAAGGAACAAGGAGGGCTGCTCCCTGGCCCGAGGGGAGGAAGGCTGCGCCCGGCCCGAGGGGAGGAAGACTGCCCCCCGGCCCGAGGGACGGTGTAAATACTGCTGAGTGCTGACGGACGCCTCGGCACTCCCACTCGGCCGCTCAATGGTGCTGTTGTTTCCGTGTCATGGCAGACGATCTTTCTGCTGGGAAGTGAAAAATAAAAGAAAGCTTCGAGAGGTGAAGCCCCGAGGAGGGGCCCTCCAGCTTTAACTGCTTGAGTTCCCGAGACAGTGAGAGCAGGCAGGACTTGAGGCCCGGATGAACCATGTTCGGGGAGCGGGGGGCGCTGGGAGCGAACACAGAGGTGGTGGCTGAAGAGGCAGGTCAGTCAGAGCAATGACAACCCCAGTGACCGGCAGGATGTCACCATTTCAGGGAAAGGGGAATCTGGGACAGACCGACAAGGACGTGTTCATTCCTGGTGAAACGCTCGACTCGGTCATTAGGCAGATTTTAGCTTGAGGCAGCCGCCAGGCCCAGGTGGTGCCAAACCCACCACAGTTTCCCGTTTCTCAGGATCACCGGTGATCAGCGAACGGGGCAGTCACGGGGCTCGGGAGTGTGGGCTTTGGCACAGGCTCTCACACAACCGTGGAAACACGGTGGAGAGGTGTGCCCTGGATGGCCGCGGCTGGAGGAGCAGCTGACCCCGGGCAGAAGGCTTCTGACGGCACAGACCCCTCCCAGCCCCCAAACACGGACAACCCACAGGACGCCAGCTTTGAGCCAGGAGTTGAGAACTTCCCGCACTTCTACTACTGTGTGAATACTCAATACTGTGACTGTGAAGACGCTCTCCTTCCCTAAGTGAGCTTGCTCCTCAAAAGAGTAAACTCAGTAACTCCACTCGGGGTGTGTGTGTGTCAGTCACTCAGGCGTGTCCGACTCTGCGACCCTGTGGACTGTTCCCCCCAGGCTCCTCCGTCCATGGGATTCTCCAGGCAAGAATACCGGAGTGGGTTGCCATCCCCTTCTCCAGGGGAGCTTCCCAACCCGGGGATCGAACCTGGGTCTTCTGCACTGCAGGCAGATTCTTTACCATCTAAGCCACCAGGGAAGCCAAATTCCACCAGGTGTCCACTCAGAAACCTGCACATGAACACTCTTACCAGCATCACTTGTTGTTGTTTAGTCGCTAAGTTGTGTCCAACTCCTCTGTGACCCCAAGGACTGTAGCCCACCAGGCTCCTCTGTCCCTGGGATTTCCCAGGCAAGAATACTGGGGTGGGTTGCCATTTCCTTCTCCAGGAGATCAGGGGATCTTCCTGACCCAGGGGTGAAACCCGGGTCTCTTGCATTGGCCTGTGGGTTCTTTATTGCTTGGCTAGCAGGGAAGCCCTAACAGCATTATATATAGCCTCAAAGCGGAAACAGCCTAAATATTCATCGGCTGATAAGCAAATAAACAAATGTGGTATAGCCACACAAGATTTGTACATTTCATTGTATATAAATCTCACCCTAATAAAAGAGTGGTAAACAACAACAAAAAGTGTGGTATATCCATCAGTGGAATATTATTTGGCCAAAAGAAGACTGAAGTACTAATACATACTAAGACATTGATGAACTTTGAAAACATGCTGTTGATAAGTGAAAGAAGGCAGTCACAAAAGACTGCATATCGTATGATCTCATTTTCATTGACTTCTCTGAAATATCCATAAAGGCACATCTTTAGAGACGGAAAGATTAGTGGTTGCCTAGGGCTGGGGAGTTGGTTGGAGGGAAATGAGGGGTGACTGCTCCAGGATGCTGGGCTTCTTTTTTGTGGTGATGAAAATGTCCTAAAATCGACTGTGGGAATGACTGCCCCATTCTGTGTAGGCACACAAACGCAAATAACACCGAACTGCACACTCCTAATGGGTGAATTCTATGGTGTGTGAATTTTAACGCCAGAAAGCTGTATCTAAGAAAAAGAGTAAACTCTATTAGTGGAAATCTATGTAAAAAATGACTACACATTCTGAACGGCCCCATGTCAGAGGTTCTATTAATTTATAATAGGATTTACCTGTCAGTCCCCCCTATCACACAGTCAATTCCTCTAGGGAAGGAACCATGCGTTAGTCATCTTTGTCTGCCTAGCTTCTAGCATGGCTTCATGCCACAGAAGCCCAGTAAACTGGTAGCACGCTAACTGGCAACCTGGTGAAGTTACGTGCTCAGTGAGCGCTTCTTTGTAAACATGTGATATCATCCCTTTCTATAAAGTCAGTTCCCCACTTACAAGACCCACTCTATAGCACTGAGTGCCCAAACTGATCAAAAATAAACAAAAAGAAAGGAAAAGACAAATCTATATTTTTGCTAGCATTTATTCAGTCTTGAAATCCAAACAGGTAATATATGTAATATACTGTGAATATTCCTCCTGGAGTTCTTTTGTATACACAAGATGAGATGGAGATTTTAAGAGTAAGAAATTCATCAAGTTTTGGCTGAAGGCACCATGTTCTTTACCCAGTTAATCCTTCAGTATCAACCACTGTTTTCTTTATTGTGCCAAGAGCTTCTAACTCCAGAGCAAGCCCAGTCTTCTCAGTAAGTGTCCATGGATTATCTGCTGGGTATAAATGTCTCCAAAGATACTCAATGGCACCTGCTGATCAAAAGAGCTCTTTGGGGCTTCGTGAATTGTGATTTTTGGCTATTCCACTTACATACACGCCCTGTGGCTGAGCTGCTCTGAATGAGAGCCTGGCAGTTCAAGCCCATCTGTAGGAAAAACTTCTTTATTCAACAGCATATAATGTAGACAGGGGGCATTTTTCTGCTTTGACAACCCCAAAGGTGCTACTGCCCAAAAGAGGTTCTGTTGCTTTGGAATTAAATTCTTAGTATATAGATTATAGAAAAAGAAATAAAAATTTAGCCACACCGATACACTATTTGTCCACTCCCTTTGGCAAAAACCCAAAAGAAGAGGGGAGAACAAACTCATTGCTAGTGGAAATGCTAAGCGGTACAGTCTCTATAGATGAACATTTAGCAATAGCTGGCAAAACCATATGCATTTACCTTTTGATTCAGCTTATAGAATCTGTTTCAAAGATCTGCTCTCAAAAATAAGAAATGAATATGCACAAGACTTTTCACTATAATGCCAATTATAAAAGCAAAAGACTGGAAATAGCCCAGATGTTCATCAACAGGGACGGAGACGAGAGAGCTAAAGCATGTCCACATGTTAGAATGGTGGGCAGCTATAAAAGAATGAAGGGTCTCTACTGACAAGGAGAGGGAGCTATTCTTAGATGCAGCTGAGGTGCAGAAATGTATGTAATAGATTACCTTTTTTCTAAGAGGGAAAATAATGAAAAATATATTCATATATACTCAGGTACATGTTTTCTTTTTTTTTCATTTATTTTTATTAGTTGAAGGCTAATTAGTTTACAATATTGTAGTAGGTTTTGCCATACATGTTTTCTTATATTAAAAAACTGAAGGGCAAATCAAAGCCCCCCAAAATATATTATGATAGGAAAAGGGATACAAGAGAGGGAACAGGAGTGACAGCTGGACTTCCCTCAAGATACCTTGTTTTAAGACTTGTGGGCCCAGCGGGGGAAGGAGAGGGGGGTGGATTGAGAGAGTGGCACTGGATCATGCACATGGCCGTGTGTGAACAGACAGCTGGGGGAGCTGCTTTATGACGGGGAGCCCGGCTCGGCGCCCTGTGACAGGCAGAGCAGTGGGACAGGGCAGTGGGCGGGAGGCGGTTCACGGGGGAAGGCATGAGCATTCCCGCGGCCGATGCACATCGCAGTACATGGCAGAAGCCACGCAACATAAACCAGGTACCCTCCAATCAAAACGTAAAACTTAAATTAAAAAAGATCCCCTGTTTAATAGTTATGACCTTTACCTAGGTATATATCTAACAATACAAAAGCAAAATTACACCAAAATGGGGGAAAAAACAAACTCAAAAGCAAAAGGAAACAACTGAATCTGACGGTATGTTTAATCACATGGAGAGTCGTCTTTGCAACTGACTTTAAGACACTGATTATTATATTATGATATGTATACACATATACTGGAGAAGGAAATGGCAGCCCACTCCTGTATTCCTGCCCAGACAGTCCTGAGGACAGAGGGGCCTGGTGGGCTGCCGTCCACGGGGTCGCACAGAGTCGGGCACGACTGAAGTGCCTTAGCAGCAGCAGCATGCATACATACACACGTAAGTACACACATG